GAGCATTGTGGCTTTGCAGACGCTGACGAGCGGATCCGGGATCGTCTCATATCAGGGATGTCCGACAGGGAGCTGTCCCGCAAGATCCAGCTCAAATCGCTCGAGGAAGAAGTGTCGATGAATACGGTCATTACTATGATGCGTAACGTCGAAATCGTAAGCAGCCGTGACAGCTCCGGTCCATTTGATGTCAACAGGGTTCAAGCACCGACGCAGTACGGACAGCCGCGCCAGCAGCCGCAGCACGCCCGTCAGCGCCAGCGTGGCCATCAGCAGCAGCACCAACGGCGCCAGCAGCACGGGCGACAGCAGAAGTCACCTGTCACGCAGCCACGACAGCAAGCGCGTCACATCGACTCTGCAACAACATGCAGGTATTGCGGGAGAGAGCGGCATGCTTCACCGAGGGACTGTCCCGCTAAGGGAAAAGTTTGTTCCAACTGTCAGAAAATGGATCACTTCGCAGCCGTCTGCCGATCACCTAGCGTCAGGCAGATAGAGCGTACAGAATCAAGCGAGCCGTTAGCGCCACATGATGCTTTCGTTGGTGAAATCGACAAAGCGTGCGCGCCGTGGAGAATCACAGTCAGTCTCTGCGGTCAGGAGGTCACGTTCAAAGTTGATGCTGGTGCCGACGTTAGCATTCTGTCTTTGAAAACCTACCAGCGACTGAACCTGCCCTCCCTTGAGCATGCCTCAAGCACGCTCACTAGCGTCGGTGGCGTGCTAACCGTAAAAGGAAAGCTGCATGGGACAATCATGTTCAAAAGCAAAGCGGAGTCGGAGGTGTTCTATGTAGTGGACTCAGCAGATAACCTCCTCTCCCGGTCGGCGTGCTCGCGTCTGGGTGTCCTCCAGTTCACAGGAGAGGTGCATGAAGATGTCTTCGGAGAAGCAGGTCTCATGAAGACGGCACCGATCAGCATCCGGGTACGCGAGGATGCCGTCCCGGTCGCTCTCTCCACAGCAAGACACGTCCCCCTGCCGCTGATGAAGCCAGTGGAGGAAGAGCTGAAGAGAATGGAAGAGCAGGGCATCATCGTACCAGAGACTGAGCCCACAGACTGGGTATCCGCGCTCGTCCCCGTTCCGAAGAACAGTGGTGTCCGAATCACAGTTGACTACAAAAAGCTGAACCAAGCCGTTAAGCGTGAGATCTTCCCGATCCCGACCCTGGAGCACCTGACGTCCAAGCTGGGCGGTGCGACACTGTTCTCCAAGCTGGACGCTTCTTCTGGCTTCTACCAGATCCCGTTGGACCAGGCAAGCTCCAAAATGACTACGTTCATCACACCGTTCGGCAGGAAGAGGTTCCTGCGCCTGCCGATGGGAATCTCACTGGCTCCGGAGTGCTTCCAGCGAAAGATGCAAGAGATGCTGGATGGACTGCCTGGAGTCATCGTCTACATGGACGACACGCTGGTTTTTGGAGATGCAAGCAACCATGACGCACGTCTCGAAGCCGTCATCAGAAGAATCCACGAATCTGGCCTCAAGCTGAACAAGACGAAATGTGAGTTCCGAAGGGACGAGGTCAAGTTTCTTGGCATGAAGATAAGCAAGAATGGCATCGGCGTGGACGACGAGAAACTTGAAGCGATACAGCAGCTCCAGCAGCCAAAGAACGTCACAGAGCTCCGGTCTCTGCTAGGGGTGGTCAACTACCTCTGCAGGTTCGTCCCGCACATCCAGGAGCGCCTAAGGCCCCTCAACGATCTGCTGAAAAAGGACGCTGCGTGGAACTGGACGCCTCAGCAGCAGCAAGCACTGGATGATGTGAAAGCAGCCGTCACGTCCGCTCCAGTCTTGGCGTTCTACGACCCAGCGCGTGAGACAGTGGTCAGCGCAGACGCAAGCAGCTACGGAATCGGAGGATGCATCCTTCAGAAGCATGGTTCCAGCTTCAAGCCCGTCGCATTCTGCAGCAGAAGTCTGACGGACACAGAGACGAGGTGGGCCCAGATTGAAAAGGAACTACTCGCTGCAACTTGGACGTGCGAGAAGATGCACATGTTCCTGTCTGGACTGCCGTCGTTCGACCTACAACTGGATCACAAGCCACTGATCCCGCTCATCAAGACGAAAAATCTCGTAGATGCGCCAATCAGGTGTCAGCGCATGCTCATGCGACTGATGCGTTACAACGCAACAGCGGTGTTCATTCCAGGGAAGCAGCACCTGGTACCTGACTTCCTCTCGCGTCATCCACTCCAGAAGCACGATGCGATCGGCGCTGTGCTACAGGAAGACGTCCACAACTTCTGCAAGAGGGTCTTCGATGACCTGCCCGCCACACCGCAGCGTCTGGTGGAGATCAGCAGGGCACAACAGGCAGATGAACTCCTCCAGCGCGTGGTTCAGCAGACTCTCTCTGGCTGGAAGGAGGGAGCAAAGCACTCCGACATGCTGGACTACTTCGCCGCGCGTGGAGAAATCAGCGTTCTCTACCTGACAAGCGGCACACTGCTGATGTACGGCCGCCGCATCATCATACCGCCTAGTCTGCGTGAAGAGATGCTCAACCGTCTACATGACGACGGTCACTTCGGGCTCAACAAGTGCCGCCAGCGAGCAGCAGAATCCGTCTGGTGGCCCAAGATCAGCATCGACTTGAAGCGCCACGTCGAGTACTGCGCGTTCTGCCAAGTGCACGCGCCCTCCCAGCACGCTGAGCCACTGGTAACGACTCCAACGCCTTCAAGACCGTGGACTCACATCGCAGCAGATATTTTCCACTTCAACAACAGCAACTGGCTCGTGACTGTGGACCTCTTCAGCAGGTATCTGGAAATTCAACGCTTGCCCAGCCTCACAAGCACCGCAGTCATCGAGCGGCTGAAGCGCCTGTTCTCCAGACTGGGGATACCGGATCTGATGACAACAGACGGAGGAACGCAGTTCACCTCCAGCTCATTCGCCGACTTCGCAGCTTCTTACGGCTTCACACATCGCGTCACTGACCCGCACACGCCATCATCCAACGGAGCAGCTGAACGGGCCGTGAGGACCGCAAAGTGGATACTTCGCCAAAAAGATCCTCACCTCGCTCTCCTGAACTACCGAACAACGGCTGTGGAAGCCACAGGATACTCCCCAGCCCGCCTCCTGATGGGACGTGAGCTTCAGTCCCGTCTCCCCGTCGCTCAGCAGCCCGCCAAGAAGGCATGGCGGCACGCCAAACTTCGCGATGGGCGGAGAAAGAAGAAACAGGAGTCAACCGTCAATCAGAGGCGAGGCGCCCGCAACCTGCCTCCGCTGCAGCCCGGCGCCAGAGTCCGGATCAAGACAGAAAAGGGCAGCTGGTCGGAGCCCGCCATCGTCACGCAGAGGCTCTCCAGACGCAGCTATCTGGTGGAGCTGGGCGGCTGCCAATATCGCCGCAACCGACGGCACCTGCTGCTGATCCCTCCTGTTCCGTTACAGGTCCCGGCACAGCACGGAACCGGGCAACGGGCAGCACCAGTGCCACCTCCGGTGGTGCCGCCGACATCCGTGGCAGTACCACGCCCGGTGGTGACGCCACCACCACCACAGCAGCTTCCGCCAGCTGCGCCGTCGCCTGAGCCGGCGACGTCTCCGCTGGCACCCGCTCCGCCATCAGTGCAGCCCGCTGACGACCCTGTACACGTTAGCCCTCGTAAAACTCGCAGCGGTCGGATTTTTGGGGTTTAAGAAAACCAGCTTTGTGCTTGGAGTACAGCTTAGCTTTCTATATGATGCTTGGAGTACAGCTTAGCTTTCTATATGAGACCTTATTAGCACACGCGTAAGAGGGGGAGATGTATCGTGGTGGCTGCTGTGGTCACACCCCGCTCTATAGCCTGGAGCCGCCGCTGAGCCGGCGCCGGTATCGTATGCAGTCTGGGCTGTGGCCGCCCGGGCCACCGCCGCCCCGCTCGCTGAATACAGTTCTCGGCTGGTACTGGTGGCGTCTGCACCCTGGGGTTCATCAAGCCATAAGCAAGCACGCAAACACCTATACTCTCGTGGCCCGCCATCCCGAGAGGTGTACCTGGGTGGGGCAAGTCCCATAAGTCGGACCACCGAACTGCTCTAGCCGTTACACGGGGATTTTCTCCAGGGACTTCCCCTGCGTTCACCCTGCGCTTACCGGGGAACTCCCATACAAGAGCATGAGAAAGAGTGATCAAGAATGGGACCGGTCCCGTCACCTTGATCATTCTTGGACGGAAAGAGGACCCTGTGAGGATGACACCCGTCTATGGGTCGATGGTTCACAACTCCGTGCGATTATGACCATTGGCCAATGCATTATGCACAAGTTTTACATAGCAACAGCGTCTAAGAGTGCCGGTCTCGGCCTCCCCTGGCATCGCTCCTACATAGGACACCGCCCACCGGAAGTGCGACCGTTCGGGGGAAGTCCTGCGCCGAGCGGCCGACGTGCCTGTTCCGACTCGTCGACCCGGCCGCCTGCCTGATGCCTCCCCAGTCCCCACCCGCCGCCCGCCCATCCCCGACGCCATGCACCAGCCACCAGGTGATGCCCAGCCTTACGGACATAACGTCATCCTTTCCCATTGGCGGCTGCGAGCTCCAGCGCCCCCTGGAAAGCCGGAAATATCCACGGCAGGGCTGCTGCCATATCTGGAGATATCTTGTCGCATAGAGATTTGCTAGAAATGCAATTGTCGCTACCAACTATACTTTGGTTGTGAGCTGTCTAAAATAGTGGACGTGGTTTTATGAATGTTGGGCGCACAAAGTGTGGAGAACAAATAATCGTCGTTCTGCACTGCCAAAAACGGATAAAGAAAGCGCAGGATCAATGCACCTTGCACAAATACTAGACAATTTTTCGCCAGCAAATGTCTAAAATTGATATACTTAAATTTATTTAGCAATCTTAATCCTTCATCATTGTTTTCTAATGCGCCGGACATTTTAGACACCTGTTTAGACACTCGCACAAATCTCGCATCTAGGGGTTTCCCACGTACCGAGGTGGAAAGTTATCGCGCTGTGGCAGCTCCGCTGCCGACAAAGGCTGTCGCCCTGCGAGGGGGAGCTGCGGGCGCCAACGGCCGGCGCTCAGTGGCAGTTGGGGGCTCGAGGGGCTCGAAAGGGAACACTGGTCTCCTCGTGGTCACTGGGTGTCGCAGCTCAGGAACGCCGTCACCCTTTTCGATCCTTCAGTCTTCACCGATCAAAGATACATCTACCTTCGCCGGCTGACGACTTCTGGAATCATGGAGGTAATTATAGCTTTTTTGTAGGAAATTGTTAGTCGGGGAGTTTTTTTGGATGATGAGTTTAATGAATGATTTAAGTAGGTTAACACTATACAAAGCTTTCTTCGCGAATGCATCAGCATGTATTTATGTGGATCTTATCTTCATTCCAACCGATTTTGCATGCAAAAAAAATCCCATTCATTTCAATTTCCACAGTTTTAGCTATTCTTAAGCCGTCCGGCCAGGGTCTTTTTCATTACGCGGACGGCCAGGGGGGATGGTAAGACCCCTGACATCATATCGCATACCATTCGATTCGGCTGATCACAAGGAACTCACGTCATTTTTGAAGATTTAGCCTCATTGTGTTCCATGTTATTAGTAAAAACGTAGTTTGACCTCGAGGCGACCCTATCTTCTTGCAGCAAGCAAACACCAAATTTATCACGTATTGATGTAAATTGAGGTGTTACAACACAAAAACGTTGAAATGGTGCATGCTTTTACAATTTGAGCCAATCAGCCGAATTTTCTAAGAATTTGTCGTGACCTCTAGATGACCTCAGGTCATCCGAATTTGGAAAATCGGGATGCAGGCTATTGCCACTCGGTGAGCATAGCATATCCGGCCAGTTTGAATCAAATTGATGAGCAACTCTAGATTCCATTGACAAAATTGTGATTTTTTCAGTGCCATTTTGATCATGTACCGGTTTTTGTGACCTGGCCTGATCTGAGGCCACTGGTACTCAAAAGTCAGAAATCCCAGAACACGTGTCAAAATTGATTGCCCCAAGTTGTCTGAAACTTGATGGCGCTACGTGCTATGGTTCTCACGCTACTAACGAAAAACTCTTTTATTCTGTTGCCGTTAGATTAGCCCAATTTTACCCTGACCTTGTACCGGTTTTTGTGACCTGGTGACCTGACCTGAAATGACTGGGACCTGAAGTTTCAGAGTAGGTGCCAAAAGGCTGCACCGGAGGGAATGCCGAATTTGGCGGCGCTACGCCCCGCCGTTTTTACGCTTTTTGCGAAAAACCTCAGTATCAACCTCCTGTCCCGGCCCGGCGAGGGTTAATTCCTTCTGTGTAATTTGTGAAATTTATACAGCTGACTTTGTGGCCTGACATACTCGTAGTAGCTGTAACAGAGGTAAATCCAGTATCCTGTCTTCAGCCAGGGGCTAATGGCATGGGGTGGCGTGTATTCTCACCTACCAGGTGCGGCAAAATTGAAGTTCGTCGGCACGATAAGGTCAATAACCATCATTTAGAGTTTGCACATGGGACCAGTGAGGCTGGAAGTGATGTAACTGTGACCGTCGGATCCGGCGTGAACAATAACCCCCAGATAATGTGTAGCACACGCCACACACACAGAAGGGCAGCACCGTCTAAGATGCCCAGGGTAGGTGAGACGCCCCATGTCGTTGTTTATGACACGATGGTTTTAATCAGCAGTACAGGTGCTACGGATACTATATTAGGCACATTATTGACGGAGTTCGCTGAGAGCCAATATCATTCAGTCGATTTCATAACCAAAAACATAGTTTGTGCGACTTGGGTTTGAGAGACCCGGGTAGGTCTTTCAGGCAACTTTGCCAAGGTGGGGGAGGCTTGGCCACACCAGGTTTTCTCGGAAAGTAAGAAAGATGGAAAGAAGCGCGGAAAAACGATAGATAGCTCGCTATAAGATCTTTCAAGGGTAATGTTGCATACCTACTCGATCGATGATTCGTATTGTTTGGCAGACATGTGCATGGATCCGAGTGATGGATCTATATGATCTCAAAGGATCTCGAAGCAAACTACATGTTATGGATCGATGATCCCACCGGATTCCGCGTGAAGAAAATGTACTTATCACCTCATAGGGTTTAACGGTAAACCAAGAGCATGGGTCTATGATCCAATTGTATCCATGCAGAACATTTGAAAACATGTTTTCAAATGTTTATATGTAAATAATCATGTCATAAACGAATTATGACGTGGAGTCACGTGAAATTTATTACTAAAACAATTTTTATGAGCTTCAACTTAAAGTGAATCCTCACTATTTCCGTTCTGTCAAAAAAAAAGACTCGGATTTTGATCCCAATGGATCTCTTCATAAATTGAAGGGCAGTATCTACATGTGGGGCGTTCCACGACAAATCGACAAATAAAAAATTAAATTTGCACCCTCATATTTTATTTTTCGCTGAAAACTGGTGTAGGGGTTGTGATGGGCGGGGAAGCCAGCTGTGGCAAGGATTTTTTTCTTCGAACAACGGTTTCCGAGATATAGCCTCGGGCAATTCCTGGAGGTCACGCTGCAACCCTATGTTTGGCGGCTTATAACTCAGAAATTATTGGTTTTCTATGATAAAACTTTATATGATTCAACTCACAATCAACCAACAAACATTTTAGGTATTTCGGACTTTTAATTTTTGAAAATTTTGATCACGTGACCTTTTGAATTATTTTTCGAAGAGTGACCTTGATATTTTCCCCACTGAAAGTTGCAATTTTGTCTGATGACGATTAAAGCCTTATCAATTGTCATTCATATGCGATAATAAAAAAGTGGTTATCGCCCTGAGTTGACCTCAAGTCAGGTCATTTTCATGACCTGTCCATTATTACGAGCGTGAGCGTCAGCGAGATCTCGAGAACAAAGCAAGATAGCGACAAGCGGTAAACGGTACAGGGTACACACGGGTAAGGTCTATAATTTTTACGGAGGTCATTTTCAGGTCAGGTCAAAGATGACGTCACAGGAGCAAAAATGAAGTCAAAATAGCGGCACTACATATAAATATGAAGTTTTTCTCGAATAACTTTCAAGGTATCCCAGTTAGGAACAAACTAATGGCACCATCGTGATTCTCTCGTCAATCCGCATCGAAACATATGTATGTTGACCTCGAAAGGTCGAAAGGTCAGAAGTTGACCTTAGGTCACGTGACCTATGAACATGCATTAAAATATTTTATTATTCGTAACTGTACTTAAAACTAATATTTTCAAAATGCAAGTGTAGTCAGTAGCTTGGTAGCGATCGTGGCGGATTACACGCCATTATTGTCCTGAGGCCCCCTTAGGATGTCATCAAAATTGTAGTGACATTGGCCTGAGCTTAGGATCGTCGCTGTTCCTCTGATGTCGCTCTATTATAATGGATCGCCATTTCAAACAATCGCTCAAACATGTGAGTCGCTGTTCTAGAGGTCGCTCAAAATGCAATCGCTGTTTTGAGTGAGTCGTTGTTTTTAACCCTCGCGGGCACAGGCCATTTTGCGTCCTTCGACGGCACAAGGGGGGGGGGTTGGTACGACCCCCCCCCCTCGCGTTTGGCCCCTGATCGAGCTAGAGCTTCGCGGAAAAAACGAACGTGTTGCCCGTCACGAGAGGAAGCCGATGATACCCAATTTTAAGGTCCTAGGTCATCGGGTGACCTTCCAGGTCAGGTCAATGACCCGAAAACCGGGAAAATCGGGAACTGTTAGAAAGTCGTAAAGTGTCGCTGCTATGTGATTTTCCGGGGGTGCTAATCACGAATATCGTGTTAGTTTTGATCACAGATGATGTCTTTAAGCATTTAGACCAGGTCGGGTCAGTTCAGGTCAGGTCAACCGGTAGGGGTTGTGACGGGTATTTGTACCTAATATGTGTCAACCGCCTCTGACAGCTACGTAACATGTTACGAAGGCACCAAAACTACTTCGTAAATGTTCAAATGGTTGCTAAATTCGAATTCAGCTCCAAAAACTAGCCTAGAAACATGTAAAACTCGAAAAAGTGAACAGAAGTCACCCGAGGTCACCAAAGGTCAATGACCTGACCTGACCTTCAGGTGTCCTTGACACCCACCCTTATGTATGGGAGCAACATCAAAGCACATGTTTGAACGTTTGAAACCACGAAAAGCTTGCAAACGCGCGGCTAATGCGAGCCGACATACGCCGAATCGCGATTCCGGCCAAACATGGTCTCGGAAAAGAGGTCACAGGTCAAAGGTCATTAGGGTCAGGGTCATCAAATTTTAAGGGTAGGTGTAAAATTGATCAATGCGAGGGTACTGAAAGTTTCGTCGCGATCGGCCGCTTTTTACGCGAGTTATTCGCGAAAAACCTTAGGGGGGGGGTGCATCAACTGTGCCCTGTGCCGGCGAGGGTTAAGTCGCTGTTTTCTAAATCTTTGTCGCGAACATCAAGAAAGATGCATTGAATAGGAAAATGTCATGTAAAGGTCAAGGTCAGGACAGGTCACCAGAGACGAACTAGAGAATAAGATAAGTGCGACACGTTTTTTGTGGATTATTTGACGCTTAACTAGAGCTCAATGGGCATACCCAATTAGCGCTATAGACCATGGCTATTTGGATAAAGTTCAGGTCTTGTTCAGGTCAAGGTCAAATCAAGTGTGGTCAAATTTTTAAGTTTGATTCTTTATTGTGTGCTGAATAGGTATACCTGTGGAAGTTATACCTACCTACTTCTTGAGAATTATCGATTATTTTTTAGAATATTCATCGATATAAGTTATTTCTTTCAGTTTTCGAGCTAACCAGAGTGTGTGGTGTATTTCAAGAGTGTGGCAATCCCTCCCCCCCTCACACACACACAAGTGTCACCCCCCCCCACACACACACACACACACAGCGCGCGCACGCACGCACGCACGCACGCACACACTAAAGCGACGTCGGCTTAGACTTCCATCCCGTGGATTAAGAAAAAATTCTGCAGTTTTCACGCACTCGTTCTTTTTATTGTTCGTCAAGTGCTACAATAATTGAGCATAATCTCTCTTTCCAGGAAACTACCGAGACATCTGAGACCAGAACCAAGCTCGCAACTTTGCATCTAACTCTGCTCGCGATTGAACGAGCTGAAGAAAAAAAGCGACAGGAGCAACTGAAAGAAGAAGATGAACTGTGTTTGAAGATAGATGAAACAAAGTACGAGGATAAGGTACTCCTTGTCATTCTTAAGCCTGAATCAGGAAAAGATCTGCCAAAACATGGTTTGGAGCTGGGCAGCCAGGTGATCGTCTCCCAGTCCCCGGTAGGTGAAGTCATTGAATACGATGATACGGGCCGTGGTCTGCGGCGCAGAGACGGACTAGAGGTGGACTTCTGGACAAGATTTCCTTACGCCGTTGTGACAGGACTGACGAAGATGGAGCTCACGCTGTCATTCTCACGCGAGGTAGGGTTCCTCACTGTTGGGAACACTGTCTACGTCAGCTCGATTGAAAATTCAGATTACTCACAGCTGTCAGCAGTACTGCGCTGGCTGAGGAATGTCGAAATCAGAAAATTATACGCCAGAACACCTGCTGCAAGCACGATCAGAGAGATGTTTAAAGAACACGAGGAGTCATCTGTAAGTTCAGAACCAGACGCGCCCGAGGCAGCACCACCCACCTGCACAGGCAGTTCGTTGGACAGTTCACAGCGTCAGGCGGTGGCGCTGGCGCTCCGGGATCGGCCGCTGACCGTCATCCACGGCCCGCCCGGCACCGGCAAGACCACCACCGTCGTGGAGGTGATCATCCAGCACGTGAAGCGGGCTCAGCGCGTGCTGGTCTGCGCGCCCTCCAACAAGGCCGTTGACAACGTGCTGGAAGGTGTCTGGAAACAGACCATGAAAGCAGACTGTGAACTGGACACAGATCACGTAATTCGTCTCGGACAGCTGGAACGAATTAATAAGGATCTGAGAGACTTCTCTTTGGACGCACAGCTGGAAAAATATTTTGAAAAGAAAGAGAAAGAAAAGAAGCGGACAAATTTGCTTCTCTACCGGCCGTATCAAAGGGAGGAATTGGTGGAGAACGCCAAGGTCGTACTGAGTACGCTGACATCCGTGCGCAGCGTATGCGAAGACACTTCTCCGTTCGACCTCTTGGTGATCGACGAGTGCGGCCAGGCGACGGAGGCCGCCTGCTGGCTGGCCATCCCACTCGCCAAGAAGGTGATGCTGGTGGGCGACCCGTGCCAGCTGCCGCCGACCATCCTCAGTCAGGAGGCGGCCAGCCGCGGTCTGGCCGTCTCGCTGATGGAGCGGCAGATGAAGCTGCATGGTGAGGGTATCGTCCACATGCTCGACACCCAGTACCGGATGCACGCAATGATCCAGGAGTGGTCCTCGAAGAACCTGTACGGCGGCAGACTCAAGGCGGCACCGACAGTCGCCAGCCGCCTGCTGACTCAGCTACCCAGCGTGCAGAGCACGAGTCAGACGCAGCCCACCCTGATGCTCGTAGATACAGCTGGCTGCAGGCTTCTTGAATCACAGGACGCCAAGACCAAGTCCTACTGCAACAAAGGCGAGGCGAATCTCGTGGTGTGTCATGTCTCGTCGCTGGTGAAGGCCGGGGTGTCGACTGAATCCATCGGCGTCATCACGCCGTACAAGCATCAGGTGGGGCTGATCGCTGGCCGTCTGCGCGAGGCAAATTTGAACGTGGAGGTGAACTCTGTGGACGGGTTCCAAGGTCGCGAAAAGGAGGCCATCCTGCTCTCTTTGGTGCGCTCCAACCCGCGCCGCCAGGTGGGCTTCGTGGGCGACCGGCGGCGGCTTAACGTGGCGGTGACTCGCGCGCGGCGTCACCTATACGTCGTCTGCGACACATCGACCGTGTGTCAGGATCGCACGATTCGCTCGCTGGTCAGTCACCTGAGGAGGAATGGAGAGCTGCGTGAGACCAGCGGCAAGCTCTGTCCGCATGGCAAGGCCTGCCAGGTCGTCGAGGACGACGATGACGTCGACGATCTGGCCTTCCGACTGGGAGCTACAAACCTGCGACGAACGCGGAAACCAAGGAAGCCACGCTACTAAAAGTGCGAAGACGTATACATACGTCGGCTAGTGTGCGAACTGTGGTGGGGCTCGCCAAGGTTTTAAGTGATCTTTTAGTCTAGCGATGGCTATGCAACGGCTGTGCAGTCTGCATTGGTATTAGGGGTTGATAAAAGAAAACTGCGATTTCAGTGTAATCTTCCTGATCGCGCAAAACCAAATGGTTGGCAACACTGCTATACTTGCCCGACACGTGTGGCAGGAGTTCCTCTGTTTGAAGTGAGCGCGCGTACTGCATATATGATAGGTAGTCAGTAGTCACATCTAAGAACTATCAGGAACCCAAGAAGCATTGGTTCCTGCTAGCTTTTGCATTGTTTTGCGCTTTGTGTTCTTGTATCGTGTTTTCTTGGCAGAACCAGCGATCGTAGAACGACGGTAGACGGAGCAGTCGATTGATTTTAACTCGTTTTGTGGAATGCCGTTTTTAATACATAAACAGGAGTATAGCTGTTGTCATAATGACAAAACTGCCTTTGTAGTTCGTAGGTCCTTATTTCGTTGCAAGTTCTTTCAGGTCGCTTTGCCCCTCTCTGGCCTCCTATAGTTCTGGAAAAGGCGATTAGGGCTAAGTAAACGACATTGGTGTTGAAAATGCTGAGGCTCAGTGATTTGTTTTCTTGATGAAATATAACAAGTCGTTCATCAGCCCACACAGGATCCTGGATAGTCCAGGGCTGCGGAGTCGGAGTCGGAGTCGGAGTCGGAGTCGGTCGGAGTCGACAGTTGTGACCGGAGTCGGAGTCGGAGTCGGAGTCACCGAAAATCTGTCGACTCCGCAGCCTTGCTAGGTCTGCGGAGTCGGAGTCGGGAGTTGGAGTCGGTCGGAGTCGACAATTCTGCCCGGAGTCGGAGTCGGAGTCGGAGCTGGTTTTTGAAAGCCGGAGTCGGAGTTGGAGTCGGAGTCGCCGAAAATCCATCGACTCCGCAGCCCTGCTGGATACCCACGGTATTTATTCCCTCAATCATATCCCCACGGTATAAGCAACGGGAGCCGCCCCACTGTCCACGGGGGGCAGGGAGAGTCTACCCAGGTCACTATTATAAAAGATAACATGACAAATGTCAATGGGAGCATAGGTCAGGACACGGTAGCCGGTGGATTCTGCCCCGGTAGCGAGTTACCTAAGTGTGGAACTACAAGTCGATTCTAGGGCTCTGATTGGTGACTTTGGTCGGGGGATGACGCTTATAGCATGACGTCACTCGCGTACTTGGCCGGACCAACGGCGCGGCGCAGGCGCGCCGAGCCAACCCAGAGGCTCTCAAACTCAATTGTACAGATCATGCGCATTGAATGGCGAAACTTCGGCGAGTTCGCTTGAGTTTGGAAGCCCCTGCCAGAGAACTGGAGACGGCCGGATTATTTGCTGGACAGTGGGCAGCGCAGATGGCGATTGACGGTGCCAAAAAGATGATAGGGAAAAAGGGGTTGAGACTTGAGCAGTGAATTATAAGCCTGTTGCATAGCTGAGTGGTAAATTGTAAAATACTTAAGGTTTGAAGAGATGCAGTGTAGTTTAGCCGACTCAGGGGCATTCTGCCGAGTTATGTAAGGCGGAAGGGTCGCAACTCGCAAGTCGTTTGTTTACATGATTGCCTGATTAAAATGTAAAGCGTACCTAATGTTTAGTTGATAAAACAGCGAGGTTGGGCATCTGCTCAATCCATTTCTTCTCTGCAATAGTGCATTCGCCACTGTAATTCATTGTAAGAGGCACTGGGCTGCGCCGCCTGTTAATTATTCCGAAACCACCAGTGAATTGTCACAGTCACTCACAACAATACGAATCGTTCAGTCGCGCGCTGGGGATCCGCCAAGTTTGAGTGTGCTGCAGAATGCAGACTGGACCGCCGAGAATATAACACTTCCGTCTCCCTGGGCGAGCGGCGCATTGGAGCCGAGGGAAACTGCTTCAGTTTTTTTTTTGGGCGGGAAGATACCCATGTTTGAAAATTATGTTCTGGAATGATGCGATAAGGAAAAGGACGGTTTCTTGAATTGAGGGCTGTGGAGAAGAAGCAGATTTTCTCATTTGCTACCCGATACAACGCGAAAAGACGCAAATGTTGCACATTGGGCTTAATAAGTCTAATAAAAGATAAGGGACTTCGTGAAGCATGCCTAACTGACCGCGACCCAGTTATTTGCCACTGCAGGTAGGCACTAGGTAGGTAGATAGGTACTCATTTGTAAACAGAGCGTTCCACCAACCCTCGCCAGAAATTCAATGAGCAGTTGCTTATCTTAAAACGTTTGAGTGCACCTAACAACCTTTAAAAATGACGTCCTCCCTTTCAATGGTTCGTTCGAAGACACAAAGCCAGAATCAGCCAAGCAATATCGGAATCCATTGCGCAGTGTGTCGACTGTCGGATGTGCCCATCCACATAGCATAGCACACACTGCTAAATGCAGGTACGCTCACCTACACATTAGGTATTTGAAGGACTTGATAGCTCATACACATGGAAGAAACGCATGAAATGTGATTAATAGCTGCAGCAGAAGTTTGGCGTCCGATGCCTCTTCGCCAAGTTAAGACCATGCCAATCTCGGCCACTGCCAGTCTGCCGCCGCGCCGGCACTGGCCATGGTGTGACGTCATCCGGCCGGCTCGGCGCTGGGTAGTTCCACACTTAGGTAACTCGCGCCCCGGTAGCCACGAGCACCGTCGCGGCGGCGGCGGCGCGGCAGCGGTCCGCAGAATTGCCCGTATAATCGGCGCCGCGGGCCGTTCTCACGCCCGGCCGGGGCGCGGCGCGGCGTTCCCACTTGTGGCGGCCGACGCGACGTCCGCCGGCCGGCCCGTGAGTCAGTGCGAACTGGAAGACGTGCTGGAACAGACGTGCGCCGCTCCGAGGAGACGGTCGAGGTGGCGAACAGACAGGTGTGCCGACGCGGCGCACGGTGCTCATAGACCGGTGGGTGGTAGGCTTGGATGGATGTGTGTGTCGGGTTAAGTGCTGTGAAGCTCAGACTTTGAGCTGGCTGGTGATTAGTTTGCTGTGGTGAAGTCGGACGGGAAAATGTGTGATATTAAGGAACGAAGGTATTGTGCAGAAACTACAGGACTGGGTGGCAGGGCGACGCTGCACGTGACCTCTCCACAGTGACCTCTGCTCAAGGTCGAGCCGTCACCTGACCGCCAGGTCACACGTCCTGACGGGGGTCTCTCACATCGCGACCTGACCCAGCGGCGGCGGGAGTGTGACCTGTCGGTCGCGCAGGTCATCCTGACCCGACCGCGGCCGGTGGGTGCAATCTGCAGCAGCCGGGCGGTCGGCTCCGCCGTGGAGTCGGGTGGCTGCTCGGGTGACCCAGCTTGAGAGCCCGCGGGCCAGGGTTACGCGCGGTCTGACCCCAGGGTGCAGAACCGGTGTCGGCGAGGTCAGCTTACCACGATTGACTGCAGCTGCAGTGCCGCCGGCCGAGGCTCCGCCTCACTTCATTCAGGTAAGTTGAGCTTTCGCTGATCTCATTGCCATTGCAGTCGGCATTGTTTCATTGATGAACTGACGTATACTGGTGAGTGTGTATCATTTTCACTGTGCTAAATATTTGCGTTGTACCTTATCACTGCACTCGCCCAAGTCGCCATATTGCCGAAGGTGATAAAAGTGTAGCACTATCGTCTATCATGGCTGGTATTTTCTTTCTACATCGGTCTTGCTCTTACTGCAGTGGAATTTCTTATCGCTATAATCCCCATCGGTCTTTATGTCGGCACTTGTCTGAAGCGACGTACCTAGATGTTGCAAGTGTGAGATGTTCGTTTTCTGGAGCAAACGGAGACTATAACGTGACAACGGGCTGGAGGCTGGCGGTGTTTCCAACACACTCATTGTTTCCTAACAGACTCTTTGTTCTTTGAGACGTGTCCTGACAGACGGCATGTTTTGTGGTCGACTTTGAAGGAGTTGTTCATTGCCATCATCTGGTGACAGACATCCCACAGAACAGTAAAGACGTGTGGTCCTTCTAGTTTCTACGTGTTCAACTGCTAAGCTGGGTAGGCATGACTACGGTAATGACTCAAATGGGTAAAGCAGAAATGGGGAACATTGTCAATTCATTTTACAGCTACCTAATGCATTCCAACGAATATGCCCCTCCGAAAATCCTCATGATAATTATCTGTCCCTTGATAAGTTAGCCGTTTAAAGTTTAGTCCTAGTTGTATTCCAAATTCCAATAAGGGTATCAATTTGCTTACAATATGTCCATTATCTTATTTTCCCCTGAATAATGATAGAAACCTTTGTAAAATACTTATTAATGCAATGTCGCTATATAAACCATTGCCCAACCAACTGCAAGTGAAGTGCAGCTGTTGACTGTTCTCACTGCCAGAATTACATACCTTATACCTACAAGACATACCTACATACCAACAAGACATTTTAGGGCAGGCTGTCGCGCTGCATATCTCGCATAAGCAGATGGAAAGCGATCGCGTTAGTTGATATCTAAGGCGTCAGCTGTTCACTGTTCATGCCTATAAGGATTTCAGGGATTAGGCTAAGACCATTACCGATATCTAAGGCGAAATCCCGTGCAGAGTCCATGTTGGGCTATCAAGCGTTTGGTTGCAATACTATCAGAAGGTAGCACAAAGCGACATGGCTGCTTTGCCGTTCGTCCATATGCACTGCTCAGTGCTCAGTGTTCACATCTGTGGCGGCTTCAGTTTCCTTATTGGTCATGCCTGAGGCCGTTAACTATATCCATGTACGGTTATGAAGGTAAAACCGTTATTGCTTTGTAATCGGCGGGTTATTGGCACATTCTTGGCTTTTCCCGACCTTTCTCCTCACTCACACCATATACATTTTCCTCGTTGATCGAAAATCATCGGCTAGCTTCACGATGTTCTGAATATGATCCCTTATACACTGTCGGTCGAACACTGTCGGCCCAGTGCCCATCCTCGACCTAACCCTGACCCAATCGCCACCAGGTAAGTTCCTTGCCACCACACAGCGTCCGCTGTCCGATTTTTATCACAACGATTGGACACAAACAACGACACCGAATGGCAGTACGGCGGTCCTCCCGGCACACATTAGTCGCGTTGGACTGCGCGTCAGGGGCCGAAAGGGCGGCGTACAAATGACATCCGCCGGCGCAGTTATTCGTCAGTTGTCCGCTGTTCCCGCGCCGCTTCGTTCTGTTCATCACTCCCCGCTCCGTCACCATCGGTGTCCCTCCCCTCTCCCTCGCCCTCCTCCCCGTCCCTTCCCCACCGCCACCGCCACCGCCGCCGCCCACCGCCGTCGTCCCATCCGGAGCCGAACCGATTTGCCGGTCGCCGCCGTCGCCCCGCCGCGGCGCCGTTCCCACGTTGTCCGAGCTCCGGCCGAACGGTGGGTCGGCTCGTTTGCGAGCTTGATGACTGCTCGTAGGCCGGGTCAAAGGCCAGGCGCCGCCGACCCCGGCACGCCATTGAAGCCAGCACGTGGCACGAGAGGCGCACGGATGGCGGCACGATCGTGCGTCGTGCAGCGCCAGCGGTGCGCGGTGGGTGGCGCGGTGTTGGGAGAGTGGGTGGCGGTTGAGAGCGGATTTCCGATACCCCTGCCCCCTCCTCCCCCTCATTGTTACGGTGCAGTGGTTGCTGGATGGTCTGATGAAGAGTAAATGTTGGTTCGTGATTCTCGGTTGGAGTAATGGGCTTAAACTTTGGTGCACAATGAAGTGCGTGCCTGTCATGCCATGCGCTGTTCATCCGCATGTAATTTAGGGGTCATGGGATCACCTTTGTTGACCTGTTACGCCGCGCTTGCAACGGTGAAATAATTGCGGTAGAGTGTTGTTGGAAACCGCATCAAGCTTCTATTAAAAAAGCAGACTTTGTGAACATGTTAAAAGAGTACCAACTTCATTTTACATTAATCAAATATGCCAGATATTTTCTTTTATCCACTGGCGGATCCAAAAATGCGGTCTTGGACTCTTGAAAGCTGCAGGTGGGGGGGGGCATACCCTCATAAGCGGTTCTCCAAATTCCAAAAACTCATCAGATTTCGATTCCTTAAGCAATGCTGTGCACTTTAACGAATGGACCCCGGTTCGTAAGTCGTAAATCGGGAAAAGTTTACGCCCCCCCCCCCCCCCTGTGGTCGGTCACAAATTTTTCCCCATAAAAGTTGCTTAGTTTTCGTTTTATTGCCGAAAAACCGCAAATTTTTGTCGATTTCGTTGGCTGCGTGGGCCATGGGGGACGCATTTGCTCCAAATGCCCCCGTGGATCCGCCATTGGCTACATGAACACTTGAACAGCAATCAGACTGTGCCTCGTTCCCCAAAGTTGAGCGTAACGTCGCACGTTTGACCGGCGCCCAAACAGAGCACTGATGACAGAACCGTATATGAGGGACCAGCTACCACCTCGGGGCGACGCTTCTAGCGCGGCTGGGTGGGTACTGGCTACAGCCCAGCGGGTGTGTAGTGTTGAAACTCGGACAACCGACGTCCGCTGTCTTTTGTTTCGGCAGTCCATTGCTTAGCATGAAGGCTCACAAGATCGGAGTCCCGTGGCACAGCGGACGGAGTCTCGTATTCGGATATCCAAACCATCGCCACCGGCAGCCTGCTGGACGGACGGCGGCTTATTAGGCGTCAAGTGTTCGTATTCATCTCATAGATTTGTCACTGCCCAGCGTTCAGAAAGTCTGCATGGTCTGCGTTTCAGCACCCATACCTATGTTGCAAAATCCGTTAGTTTTCTGGCAACATAAAAAGCTGTCTACAATAAGCTAATCAGATAAGTATACGATAAGTTGTCTCTTTGCATGCTTGCTGCCATTTCGGCTCGACTACTATAGCAAGATAAAAAGGACTACGTCTCCCTACATCTGACAAACTTTTTGATATACACACTTAAATTATATAATTAAAGGTAGACTGCCACCTTTTTTCCACAAAACGGTTTTCACTAGAGCTGAGCCACCTATGTCCCAGACTGAAGTCGGTTTTCCGAAATTCGAACCCGTTTGCGAGAAATCGGAGACCAAAGTTCAGTTTGATGCCATTTTTTTTAGTCCAAGAAAACCGACATCTCTACTGTTTATCGATAACTTTGAAACATGAATTTTCTTATCTTTTGGTAAATATATGTCAAAACTTTGATTGTTTCGAGATCAGAGAAGAATTTTGGAGTGTCAAAATAAAAGTTAAACCTATATATTCGGTAGTTCATTTTTTCCAAAAAAGTGTGGGAAATGGGGTTTAACATGGGCCAGACCCATTTCAAATGAGCCATGATTTTTAAATGTTTTACGAACTTAAATGCAAAATAAATTAAACATGGCCAATTTCTTATGAAATCATATATTAGTAAATCATAAAATACCTTACTTTTTCAAATAAAATGTAATAATCTTATGACCTTGAAGTCTAGTGATGTGTAAACATTGTCGCTAGACATTAACCGATTGATAATTGCATGATAATCGACAATTTGTTTCGCGATTCACGTGATGATACTTTGTCAGGTGAATTCTAAAATTTTGTTTTGTCCAGGGAATAAATCATAGGCCGATCTGAGAAAACTTTTTGAAGGTGGCAGTCTTCCTTTAACTATCAACCTTTCCCGAGGGTTGGGGGAGCAGAATACATAGATTTTGTGCGCTGGAACATATCGAATCGAGATTCTAGCCTGACGTGGTCTTGAGAAGAGGTCGCATGTTAGTCCAGGCTTGTTAAATTTTCAGGGTAGGCACAAAATGGATTAACATGAGGTCACCTTAAACGTTTTCTTTTTATTCGTCCATCTTTACGAGAGCTTCGTGAAAAAACGCGGAAGCTGGGCTAAATCCGCTCCCTCCCCCGTATAAGGGCGAGAGCTACTTTGTTCCTTTCTGTGATTTTGGTGGGCATGCGTAGCGGATCCGTGACATCAACTGACTTTGGTTTGTGCTGTTTTCAGGCTGACCATGCAGCTGAAAAATGACAACATATCCCAGGCACATCATAATGCTGAGGTAAATGCCGCATGGAATGCCGCACTAAAAAAAAAAAAATGCTGTCAGATTAGGATACATGCATGCCTAAGTATTAGATGGATGCCATGACCGCTAGCGACGATATCGGAAGGTGTTAGAAGATGGTATTTATAAAATTGCACCATTAAAAATGAGCATTTGCCTAACTGTTATAAGAGATGTATGTGCTTGATAGTAAAACAATGACCTAAAATGCACCTCTCCTGGGTCCAATCTTACCAATGCCGTAAATAGGATTTGGCAGCACTGGCCGGAGTTACATAACGGCACTGATATCAAAAATATCCTTTTTATTTACACCCAGCTACTCTTGTCCAATGATTTTGGTAGCGTTAATGATTATGAATGATGCCTGAATGAATGAATAAATGAATGTGGAAATTATTGGAATAGTTCTGAATGTTACCAAATGCCGTGAATGCGCATTCACGGCATTTGTGTCACATATCGTAACATGTTTGACCACCTTCATTGTTTGTCTCGAAAAGTTTCTCTTTTATCTATACTACTATTTGAACAGGATCCGTCTGTTTGTTTGTTTGTTTGTCCGCCACGCCGTGTAGTGGGCTCAATTTAGCCGGCCTACAGGGCAGACGGTATATCGTAGGGGGTTGAAATTTGCACACCTTATAGGTGACAGAGCAGGTCAGCGCCTTTTCTAGGTTTCGACTCGCTGGGGTGCACGGTTCGCGCGTGAGGCGCGCTGGAAGAACGCCAATGAAATTTTGATTGGTTCGTAGATCTTCATTGAGAGCCGGGGTCGACAAACTTTGTGGACTAAATGCATGCCGATCGGCGACGGGTGCCTCGCATTGGCGGATGGGCAGGTTTTAATTTGAATGAAAAGTGGCGAAAAAATGTGTTGATTGTCGCTAAATGGGTACAGTTTGTGATAGGAATTTACAAATGCACCGCGTTTGCCGCAAGGCATCACATTGGTCACAGGGCGTCATTTTTGCCGCAAATCGCACGGTTTTGTCAAATATGGTCCGATATGGGTGCAATTTGGTGCCAGGATGCATGCTCAACCAACAGGTTCAGATGCGCCGCGTTTGTCGCAGTGCGCCACATATGCCACAAAGCGCCATTTCCGACAAATTCGATTAAGCGTAATGGAATGGCACGAATAGGGGCAGGGCTGGGAACACTTAAAGTCTGATATTTTAGTACTGATTGGATCCAATTATTCTGTGACCTGACATGACCCAGCGGTGTTGGTAGGGGTAGGGGTAGGGGTAGGGGTAGTGGTAGTGGTAGGAGTAGTAGTAGGGGTAGGGGTAGTGGTAGGGATAGTAGTAGTGGTAGGGGTAGTAGTAGGGGTAGTGGTAGGAGTAGTGGTAGGGGTAGTAGTAGGGGTAGTAGTAGTAGGGGTAGGGGTAGATGTAGTGGTAGAGGTAGGGGTAGGGGTAGTGGTAGTGGTAGTGGTAGTGGTAGTGGTAGGGGTAGGGGTAGTGGTGGAGGCAAAAGCAGAACAGTGTCCCGGGCTGATCCCAGCGGACGAGAGGTGACCTATGTGACCTGGCCTGACCCAAAGCGACCGGGGCTGACCCCTTTGACCCGTCTTGACCCCGTATCAGCCAAATTATATCCAACAAAGCCCTCAGAACAGTTCTTTTTTAAATTCTCTTCACATTTCCGCCCATATCTTTGCTTCTAGACGACACATCGATTTGAATCGACCACCGTTCGAAAGCAAATTGACTGGTGCCGCAATTTTTTCCTACCACGCAGCAAAGCAAGTGGCGCAGCCGCTTGTCTATACTACTATTTGAGGAGGGTGCGTCTGTCCGTTACCGAGGTCCCGACTTGGTGGTGCTTTGCGTGGACTACAGGCCAGACCGTTGCACCTAGCCCGGTGAAATTTGCACAACTTATAGATCAAGGATGCGCGACGTGCCTTTGAGGGGTCTTTTCTCGATCGGATTGATAGGGAGCGCGTGGCGCGTGCTCAAAAAGTGCAAATTCGCGTCATAGACTTTACATGTATAAATCGGCGTGCGAAATCGGGCGAAAACGGCTAATTTTGGCCGACACGGGTCCAGTTCCCGTGCAATATCTTGGTGACCAGGGGTCCGACCGGCACGGGGAAAACAGCATCGTGTACAGAATTGAAGGGGCTATTGAATGGTGTGCAATGCAGAGGATAGCACGCGCCACGTGCACCGGAGAGGGCACTTTTATTTGAAAAATTGCGGTTTTTGAGGGATTTTGGAATTAATTTTATTTTTAGGTGACCGTTAAATGGAGCGAGTTGAATCAACGCCTATTTGCAAGAGAAAGGTACCGCCTCTCATATAAAAATTGTGAATAGCTAATTGATCGACGCCAAGGTGGTACAAATCGCTAGAGAAAATGGTGTTTGTCGATGATGTGCCACTTTATTAATTACACGGGTTTTGCTGCATAACCTGATACGTTTGGCAATTGAAAATGGCACCGTTGGAAAGAGCATTCAATTCTGTCCAAGATTCACTCTTCATGTTTGCATGATGAGCAACAGTATTCTTAAAAATGTAAATGTTCCAAACATTACATTGTCATTTTTAGCGAAATTCAGCGATGGCCCTCAAAAGACTTCACGCCAGTTTTCGAATCATTCTAAAGTAGAACGCATGATAATACGACACGGGCACCTCGATGCGATGTATCTTTTTGTTTTCTTACAAAATGCTTGGCCGTCAAAAAGCAATCGAACGAAATGGATATCTACCAACCAAATCGACACAGACCAACCCAATCCTACCCACGGGTCAAAAAATCCCCCCTTCGCGTTGCGGAGCACGCGGGTAACCCTAGTTTAAATACTACGGGTAATCAGACAAATATCGATGAGCTCTAGGACCACTAGGACAACTAGGAGTTCTAGGATAGTCGTTATTCATATTTATTTATTCGAAAATTGCTTAGAAAACCACCATTTTCAAGTGACGATTCTTGTCATACATGATTAAAAATTGAATCTTTAGTGTATTATGTAGTGTGTACCTATTTTGCAATGTTTTGTGAAAGTTGGTGACTGAAGTGATATGTTAGGTGATGCAGCCATAATAGGATTTTTAAATGTAGCGGCAGTATTACTTTTGCTACCCTTGCTTTGCTGCTGATAACTGAACATCCGTCCGTATGAATTCGCACTACGCATGTAGATACCTACTTTATACTGATTGTTCAATGTTCATATTTATTGAATGCATAATTGAGCAACAAATTGTAGACAAATCATTATCGGAATAATTACTTGCTTTACGTTACATGTGCCACATATGGATATAAATTTCATCTCATTTTTAAGCTTTTAACTTTCTTCTGCACTTTATAAAGACGCTTTTATGTCTGTGGTATGCGCATAATGCACCGTCATGCACCTACAGATATGTAGGTGCAATGTAGATATAAATGTTTTTGTACCACGTGAGCTTAATCTTTGTTCAGGCTTGATCTAACAACTAGCGGTAAATTTCACACCACTCATGGTGGATTTCATCTATCACCTTATGATCTCCTAAATCAGTCAGCTATGATCTCCCTGGCCTGTGTCCGCCCACTCCTGACACGACACTTACACGACATCATCTGACCCCGCATCTGACACCGTGACACTGACTGACAGGTCTCTGCCGCGTCAGCCGCCTCGAGTGTCCCGCTGCCGCCGCAGACGGCCCAGGTGGAAGTCCCTCCCCTGCCGCCGCGGCTGAGGTCAATGGCGGCACCGCAGACGCCGCCCAAGCCGACCAACCTTCAGGCCACAGGTTAGATGACAGGTCAGCTGACCTGCCATTGTGAGGGACGTGTCAGATTGTGCACGACTTCTGAGCGTTGGCAATCGGGGATTCGAGAGCTAGATGATGTGTTCATTGTGCTAGGAATACAAAGCTGAATTTAATAGCAACTCTGCAATGAGTTGAATTATCGGAAGAGGCGTCAAAACCGAACAAAAGCGAATGTTGTCCCATTGAAATGTGTCGTCTGTGCAACGTAACGTCACGTGTTCATAATTGAAAGGTTTCCTTACCACAACATGAAATAGTGGATTTTTTAGGTAGTGACCGCTTTCAATTCTGAGAAACTGCTAGCCCCATGGACTCAATCATCATCATCTCTCCTTATTCCTTCTGATCCCCTTTGACTCCCAAGCGCCCTTTATCCCAAACGCCCAAACAGCCGTTGCTCCGGCTACACTGAAGGGGCATGCTGGTAATGGAACGGCCCTACTCGGCACGCGGTTGGCAGTTGCCTATGTGGATGACGGCCGTGTATCCACCAGTCTTGAACGGGGTTATGGCCAGCTCCTATCAAAGATAAAAAGGGTCGATCCTGAGGACGAAACGGCGGATCGTTCGGGCGTGTTCAATTCCTCGCTCGGTGCCATTCCGCCCTATTACTCCGAGGTCTGTTAGAGGTTGTCCCTCGGGACCGCTGTGCGGCGGGACGCACCAGCTGGCGCTCTAGCCTCGGTCCCATATCATACCCATATCATATCAGTACATGGCCCTTCATGGTTCTATAAAATCGATAAACGATAGGGCCTAATCCAACAACAAAGCCTGGGCAACCATGTAGCCAAGCTCTCACTCAGTAGAATGTAGCGAGTGCAGCGCCATCTTCGATCGCAGAGGGCGCCATGGAGCACCGATCGTGTGGGTGAGATCACTGTGGGTGAGATGACCCGTTTGTCTTCGAAGACAAGTCGTCATGATCGGTGCTCGCTGTTAAACTGAGTTTTAGCGGTGTCAGATAGCTTTTCACTAGTTTGTGCCGTCGGACAAGTCCCTGAAGTCCCAGTCTAATCACCCTCGCATTTTTAGGGTGAGGATTGAAGAAGTAGGTACCTATGTCGCTTAGAAAGGGCATGGGCTAGGTTTGGCAGATGTTTTCTGTGAGTTTTGGTTATTGGCTTTGCAAGTTGTATCAATATCGTTGGATTTCCCACAACCCATAAAAGGAACTTCTAAGCAGTTTCACTCACTTTTTAGCATAATGGCTCGGTAAATATCTTAAGATTTGACCGTTTGCGTAGTTAAAACCATCCTCATCTCTTTGTTTTGTTTTGTTGGATTAGGCTCTTTCGGTCCGATAAGACCATTGCAGAGCTGAAAGGGTGATGGGAATTAGGGGAAGACATTGCTCTGGGCGGGCACCCTGGTGACCCGTCGGGGCTGAGCTGAGCCCATCCAGTGGACACAGGCCACCCAGCCTCCTGACGGCCACCGCACCCGGCTACAGGGCTGCTTCTGAGGTGGAGATACCTGCATGTGATAAAGCTGCCCGTCCAGCCCGGAACAGGGGACAGAGGCGTGGAGGAGAAGCATTTGACTGTTCTGAGGATCGAAATGACGGAACGGAGGACCCTCATCACAGCTACATTTATTAATTACCTATGCTTGCATCCCACATTTTCGTACTTACGTCTAACCACAAAGATGCCTCTGCGGCCTGCTGGCGCACGATTTCGTGCCAGTCTTGTTTTGTTTACGACTACCTTCCGACATGCAGAGAATTCCTCGGGTCGCGCCGGGTCAGGAGGGCGACTCCGGCCCGGGCAGGCGGCGCTCCGTTCTACTCTACACTCAGTGGGTGGAGTCACCCGACCGGGTAGTAGTTCCTCCATCCGCCACCAGGTGACAGGAGCGGCGATCAAGGCCGGCCGGCCGGCGCGGCGGTGGGCCACGCGCCCGGCACCTCGGCGGCCGGCGCGGCGGACGTGCGTGCTGTGGGAGAGGGCGGAGTGGTAAGCAGAGCGCCGGAGGCAGAGGTGCGGGAGGTGTCAGCCGGCGCACTGCCGGGTGTGAGGTCGGGCCGGCAGTGGCAGTGCAGGTGACACAACGTGAACGCTCTGCGGTTGGTGGGAGAAAACGCTGGAGTGCTTTGACGGGGATAGTTCTTGTTGGATTTAGCCGCATGGTCTCGTGGCCCAGAGCACGTTGAGGGATCCTTGTCGTGGAGCACTGGTAACGTGACCGTTTCTTCCGCGTGGATATTGGAAGCGACTCTCAGCAGGTAAGTGGCTTGGTGACCTTTGGCTCGTACCTTGACCTATGCATTGTGGACGCAGCCGCATGTATGCTATTTATTTGTTTTTTACTGGCGGTAAATTTAGAACAGCGCACTATTAACGTAAATTCCTTTTATTTATGGCTATATCGATATGATCACCGCCCCAATGTCCAATGCCCATTACCCATTTCTTTCATTGTTCGATATTTCTACGCTGAACCCGTACTCGGTTATCCCGAAAAGTAGGTAAAACGGTGTGAATTTTAACTAATTTTGTGTGGCGATCACTCATTCTTCTGACTTGCTGGCACCAAAAGGTACCTAACCAAAGTTTCAACTTACAACCTGCAAGTTGCAACTAAATCCTGCTTTTTATCCGGTGCAGGCATACCGATCGATACAGCAAGTTATATCTGTAACATCCATAACTGCAAAAAGTGATGTATACCTAGTCAATTAGCGCGTGCCGCAGAATGTCCTTCAAATCAGGGGCGTCGCCGACGGGGGGGTCGGGGGGGTCGCGACCCCCCCACTCGTCAGAACCGGGGGGGTCGACCCCCCCCCACTTTTGGCGATGCTGAGTATGCTTTTTTTAGCTATCATGTCAGGGAAGTTGGCGTCAGCAACATCAACAAATACAACGTCAGATTCAGAATCGCTTCAAGAGCTCCCTAGTCCCTATTGCTTATAAGTCAATAAGCTGTGGGCTAGAACATCAGCATGCCGATATTATTTTAGTCCCTTTTTATCCCTCAAATGAGCGAGCGCGTCAAAACTGACCCAAGCGTTCGTCTGATTGTCAAAATAATGGTTGCAGTCGATTCGTCGGATGACGTATCAGTAACTACGAGGTACCTACCTGGCTAGCCTCAGCCCTGCTACCCTCGGACCTGCCTGCATAGGGGAAATGGGGTCAGATGGTGGATCCCTCTGGGGCTTTCCTTATAAGACGCGCAAAAAGGAGTATATTGCAACGGAACTTCCAGTGACCTCGAGTTAATGAATTTTACACCTATTCTAAAAAATTGGCCCTGATTCGAATATAGATGACCTTGGTTAACTTTTTTGAGTTTTATTTGCTTCCACTTTCAAGTGTGGTTTTTGGGGCTGATTTCGAGTTTAGCGCCCGTTTGAACCGTTTCAAGTAGTTTTGATAAATGATGGTTATGTAACATGTTACGAAGCTATCGTTGGTGGTTGTCAGTCACCCACTCTAGATGGCCAGCAGGAAGCCTGCTGGTCGACCTGACCTGACCCGACCCGATCTACCCAAAATGCATGGAGTCATCATCTTTGTTCAAGACTAACATCGAACTCGTACTCGGGACCCCGATAACAGCTACGGCTCACTAAGTTCTAGCAGGCGGCCAGATTTTTCCTACTTTTGGGCGTTGACCTAAGATGACCCGACCAAGACCTTGAAATTGGGCATCATCGGCTTTCTCTCATCACGGGCAGCATTTTCGCTCTTCCGCGAAACTCTACCTCGATCAGGGGCCGAAAGCATGCCTTATGCGTTACGTTGGTAAACGTTTTACCTTAGCGACCCGCAAAATACGAATAAGAGCTACAGCAACACAGAAAGCGTATTCGATAGCTTTTTAAAGCTCTTTCGCCAACTTCGCCTCAGATATGACTTCGGGTCTATGGCTTCAGGCTTGTGTACCATAGAGACCAAACAGCTAAGCGGACGGATTTTGCCGAAACATTTGTTCTGTAACAACCTATGATTCAGTGAATGTGTATGATATTCATGTTATCACCATCGTTTTTGTTTCGTCGAAACACGTCGCATGGCTTACAATTTGAACTTAAAAACTTGAATAGAAAACTTGACATCAGGTAAAGGTCATGACCTGACCGGAAAAGAACCTGCTGCATATGGATCGATCTGTGTTACTAAGCTGAACACACTCCAGGTGCTGTCATCGCTCTACAACGTCTCCATCAAAAGTTGTCGAAAATGTGTTTAGAGACCTTTGATGACCTAATGACTGACCATTTCAGTCACCACTGGTCATTAGCTGCACCTTATCTCTAAAATGAACAAGGTGTCATGGCTACAAAAGTATCTAGCGTTTTTAGCATATTCTTTCAAAGCAGAGGGCATCGTGCTTTTTCCCATATCCTATCATGATTGGTGAGGTCACACACCTATTTGACCTGACTTCGCTTCTCAGATGTAAAATCCCAGATTCATGAACTATTGGCACTTATAATCCCATTCATTACACCAAATTTCAGACTTATAGGAGTCAGGAGATAATCTATAGGAATGACAAGATTGCGGTTTTAAGAGGCATTAAAACTGAACTTGACATGACATTGTTACCTGACCTCGGGTGACCTCTGCTTGATTTTTATGCACGATGCAAATTTGATGTACAATACGATATACCGCTGCTTTCGCGGCGCTGCGCGCCGAGGTTTTTCTCCGGGCACACGAAAAACCGGGAGTGTGACTAAAAACACCCCTACCCGTCAAGACGAAGACCGGAAACCCGACCCCCCCCACTCAAAAATCCGTGGCGACGCCCCTGCTTCAAATGTTGCATCCTATACATGCTAGAGAGGTAAAGGGAGTAGTAAAGTAATCTTGGGTAAAGGTATGGAAGACACTTCATTTCTGCTGTCTCCACCAGCAAGCAATTTTAATGACGGCGAAGTCCTTTCCGCTTCAAGGCTCACGGCACGTCTGATTAAGAGATTGTTCCAAAGATTCAGACGATTACCTCCTATAAAAATCGATAAGATGATATCTCCCAGTTATATCATTTATTCATTTCCTTCTCACACGAGCAGATCGCGAATAGCCGGCATGAGCAGCCCATGAGATGTATTATACATATAGTCATTATCCAGTGAAAACTTCAATTGAGCACTGTGCGTTTGTTTTCACCTGACTTAATTTCCATCTTTCATGATGGACAACTTGTCATCCACTTGTTAACACGCTGCTGCGATTTGTCATGTGGACGTTTTACAAACGGTTCGTAATTTCTCTGTCAATACGAAGAACAGGTTTTCCACGCTATTTTATTTCGCTGAAAAGCCGACGGCCCTATAAACAAGCATAGCCAGCATGGTAACTGTTCTGCAGTGCGTGGTTCCACAGTCTACCCTCGGATCGCGGATATTCGAAGAGCATGACCATCTGACATGGGGAGCACAATAAGATTACTTCCGCCATCGGTCAGCGGCTGGCAGTTGTTTTTCGGCAGCGGCCAGTCATATATGGAGCGGCCGCGGAGATTTCTCCCTCCGAACGAGGCGGGAGACAGACGAGGAGGCAGCGGGGGAGAAGCAGTGCGTGCCTCACAGGCACCTGCCTCATTAGCATACGCGCCGGCGCTGCCGTGCGCCCACACGTCATGTCTCAGACATTCGTGACTCAGTAATGCTAGGGCGACCATTTCCGTCTGGTACTGCGAACAGGAAATGGAAAACTATCTGAATCGGCTATCGTTGTCTCCGTTGTCTCATTTGCACCGGGTCTAGTTCATAAATCGGGAGAGAGGTCTTAAATACGCCACCTTAAACTCGACACATGGTGAATTCCAGTTGTCAAATTTGATTGAATGCGACTTGTGGTGTGATTATGATAACGAAGGGCTCGCTACAGTTGCTAATTATGACGGCGATACAGCGATATCATAAATCATCCGGCGCCTGGGATTCTTTCCTGCCAGGTTCGCCAGCTAAAGTCGAATGCAGACTTACGGATTCAACTTCTAAACTGAACACACTCATTTCACAAGCTGAAACTACAATTGGCACGTCAAGCATATTGAGTACTTGCTATAGCTGATTGGTTTTCTACCGTTGAAACAGGGCATATTTTAAGGCACTTACTGCGTCCCATACCCCTCGCCTTGGGACGTAGCCCCTGCTGATTTGACCCACTGCGTCCCTGCCCTGTGCCCTGTCCGGTTCCCTGACTTGTGCCCTGCTGCGTGCCTTGACCTGTACCCTTCCCTCTAAAATGTCCTGTGCCATGCCCTGTAACCTGCCGTGCCCTACTTTCTGCCCTCCTCAGTGCCCTATTCCGTTCCTTGCCCTGTGCCCTTAGTCGTAGCACGTGCCCTCTGCTCAACTTTGGGACGCAGTAAAAATTTGTTAAAATATGCCCTGCGTTAAAACCAATAAGGGCATAAGTTAACCTCATAAGCCGAAATGTGTTTTTATTCAATGGATATTCAGCAGTGGCAAGCACATTCGAATACCATAGACATCATGCCTGAAATCTTAGGTACCATTTTAGGGAGCACTGTGATTACCAGATTGTTCCGCCGTGTGGACCCTCCACCCATTTCGAGTTTCCAACTCGATTTGGTAGATAATTATACTCAGATCGGTAGATACACCGTGCGGCACCGAGCCCCGGTGAGGCTCGCCCAGAAAATCAGTAGAGTGTTCCTGGAATGGCATGCTACCGCCCCGATAACAACTCGAAGGTCGCTACCGAGATATGCGCCGGTCTCTGCAGTGGAACGAGCGGCTCGGCTATACCGTTATTTTAATGAAGGCAGGCCTAATACCGTGCAGGTAACACATTTTTACCGCCAGTACATTTTTTGTGCTTCTTTTGTGATTTCATGTCGGATACTCTCGTGAGACCGTTCCTACCGGCATTGGAATCTGAGTCTCGTCCGTGACTTTGGCAGCTAAGGTGACGGTCATCTCGATGACTTGACACTAGGAAAGTCTGTTTCAGCGTAAGCTTCAAGCGATCATCTAGCCGTTCACCTAGTCCGAGACACGACGATGGTGTTAAATGAATTGGTGGACATGAGTGCGTCCTGATGATAAATTGACGCTCCATGTTGCTGAATTGAACTCCTTCAGTTCCTTGATATTTTAGACCATGTCATAGCCTTGGGTCGAGAGAATAACGTGGAAATATTGAGCTGGTAACTGGTAAGACCCTCGCATGTGTGCGGCGTTTACCAGCTTCTAATGTGTAGGGGGGGGGGGGTCGGTTGGACCCCCCTTGCCGTTTGGCC